CTCTGGCTCAGGCTGGTCTCGAACCTGTGAGCTCAAGCAATCCACCAGCCTTGGCCTCCCAGAGTGCTAGGATTACAGGTGTGAGCCACCGTGTCTGGCCCTCTGTGTTATTTTTTGAATGGGAACACATAAAAAATGAAATTGATGAGAAATTCTGACTTGGTGTGTTGAATTACAAAATAGGTTTTTTTTTTGTTTGTTTGTTTTTTTGAGACAGAGTCTCAAAGCTATCTCCCTGGCAACATAGCTCACAGCAACCTCTAACTCTTGGGCTTAAGTGATCCTCTTGCCTCTGTTTTTCTGTTTTTAGTAGATACTTTGCTCAGACTTTTGCTGAGTAGATGTTTTGCTCAGGCTGGTCTCAAACTCATGGGCTCAAGCTATCCACCTGCCTCGGCCTCCCAGAGTGGTACAATTACAGGTGGGAGCCACTGCACCCGGCCAAGATAGATTTTTTTAAAGAATATCATATTTCATTAAAGAACTAAAGCTTGGTTTAATCTGAATCTTTATATACTAGGCTTACTTTTAAAATTCTTAACCAATTTCTTTTTTTCTTTTATAGCATAAATGGGATTTTTGTTTGGTTTATGTTTTTGATTGGAATTTATAAATAAATATTGTAACTTCTATAGTTTCTATTGCCTTGTGAACCTTTCATCAATGGCCCTATATCTTCACAAATGTAAATGTTTATTCATATTCTCAGAAACTCAGTGGTTTAATTAAAAATCCAGAATATAGATATATTTGAACTTTGGGGATTTTTTTAAAGTGAATTTGTAAGCATCAAGCATGACCATGGGTGTTCTGGTCACAGCTAAAATGACTTTTGAGAGTTTTGTATATGTGAATATATATGTGTATGTGCATAAATAAGAATAAAGTAGATATAAAAAATCATATCTATTCCCTTGGATCTGGATTTTTTATTTATTTTTTGAGACAGAGTCTCACACTGTTGCCCTGGGCTAGAGTGACATCATCCTAGCTCATGGCAACCTCAAACTCCTGGGCTCCAATCATCCTCTTCCCTCAGCCACCAAAGTAGCTGGGGCTGCAGGTGCCTGCCACAACACTCGGCTAGTTTCTCTATTTTTAGTAGAGGTAGGGTCTCACTCTTGGTCAGGCTGGTCTTCAAATCCCAAGCTCAAGGGATCCACCCACCTCGGCCTCTCAGAGTGCTAGGATTATAGCCATGAACCGCTATGCCTGGCCGAATCTGGATATTTAAAATATCTGTGGCTATCAGTATTTTGTTTTGTCATTAATGAATTATCTGAGTAGATTATACTGGAAATATATCTCTTACTTTAACTTCTGACCTGTCTAGTTTAGTAGAAATTTTCTGATGGCACATTAAGGAGACGTTTTGCAAAGAGGCAAAATTTTTCTGTTACCAGTTTGGAAACTCATACTGTATATAAAATTATGGTATTGCCATTGAGCCAAAGGAAGCGACTGATAATTACATTAAAAGTTTATTATTTTCTTCGTGGGATGAGTTCTACAAGTATATAGTCCTATTCTGTGAAATAGTTCTTTGTTTTATTAGGGCTGAAACTACTGCTTTTAAATTTAAAAGGGAAGACTCCTAAATCTAGTAATCTGGTATTTGGTGAATGAATTTATGCTTATACTTTTTAATTGATTTTTAGAGTTTATCAAGATCCTATAATTTACCTCCTATAAGTACAGTTGAACCTGATCCTCCTTCTAGACCTCGAACTCCTGAGCTCAAGCAATCCACCTGCCTCAGCCTCCGAGAGTGCCAACATAACAGGCATGAGCCATGGCACCTGGCCTGGGCCTCCTTCTAGAGTCATGCTCTTTTTTTTTTTTTTTCTAATGAGCTTTTAATTTTGGAATGATTTTACGTTTATGGAAAAGTTGCAGAGATACTACAGAGTGCTTCCTACACCCCTCACTATTTTCCATTATTGTTAACATGTTACTTTAGCTTGGTACGTTCGTCAAACTAAGAAACTAATATTACTATGTATGTTACTATTAACTAAACTCCTGTTTTATTTGAGTTTCACCAGTTTTTCCTTTCTGTGCCAGTCTCCAATCCAGGGTGTCACGTTGCATTTAGTTGCCTTGTCTCTTCCTTCTTTCTGGTATGTGACAGGTTGTCAGTCTTGCCTTGCTTTTTATGACTGACGTTTTTGAGGAATACTGGCCAGATATCCTGTATCAGGGGTCCTCGAACTTTTTAAACAGGGGGCCAGTTCACTGTTCCTCAGACTGTTGGAATGCTGGACTGCGGGCCCCCGGATGAGTCGGCTGCTAAGCAGGACAGACTGCGGTGGCAAAAACACCCAGCAGACCAGAGAAATGTCCTCGGCGGGCTGCATGTGGCCTGCGGGCCATAGTTTGAGGACGCCTGCTGTAGATTGTCTCCCAGTCTAGTTTATCTGGTACTTTTTTCATAATTAGACTGAAGGAATGGGTTTTTGTAAAGAATACTATGGCAGTGAAATGCCTTTTTTGGTCAGGGGTACATGATGTCCATGTGACATCATTGGTGATGGAAACTTTCACCACTTGGTTAAGGTAGTGTTTGTCAACTTTCTCCTTCATAAAGTTTCTGTTTTTCCCTTTCCTGCTCTATTCTTGGGAAGTGTAGACTCAGGACCTTTTAGCTTTGCTATCTGCCTTCATAGCTATCTGTTGTTTACTAAGCCATAATTTTTCTGTTGGGTAAATTCCTAGCCAGAAAATAGTCTAAATTTTTGTCAGTAGTGTGTTGGGTCCTCATTGTATGAGGATTTTTGGGCACTTGGAGATGTATAAAGGAGCTGCATTTGTCTGTGTTAGAGTGTATCACCTTGTATTGAAATTAGCTTTTCACATGTTCACTGCTTCTACTGAGTTCTAAAAATGAGGGATCTTTTATTTACCTTTGTGTTTCTGATACTTAGCATAATGTAGAACCTGTTGGCCAGATATTTCTTTTTATTTTATTTTATTTTTATTGAGCCAGAGTCTTGCTTTGTTACCCTTGGTAGAATGCCGTGGCATCATAGCTCACAGCAACCTCAAACTCTTGGACTCAAGCAATTCTCTTGCATCAGCCTCCTAAGTAGCTGGGACTACAGGCGACTGCCACAGTGCTTGGTGATTTTTTTTGTTTTAGCAGGCCTGGGCTGGGTTCGAACCCACCAACTGTGGCAGCCGTGGTGCATGTGGCCGGTGCCTAACCACTGAGCTATGGTCGCTGCCAAGTCAAATATTTCTTAGTAAACATTTAATTGCACTAAATTGATAAAGGTAACTTGTACTACTTGGAAAACACAAGAAATGCTTGATTATTTTCATCACCTACAAGTCCCAGATTGTAACTTTAAGAAATTATAATAGGCAGTTCAACTGCTTGAGTAAACCAGTGAGCAAGTAAAACTAAAAAGACTGGTTCTCATAGTGTGGTTGCCCATCAGCAACATCCACATCACCTATGAACCTATTAGAAATGCAAATTCTTAGCCTAGCCCCAGACTGAGCCTGGGTTATAAAAGCACTCCAGGTGATTCTAATGACCACTGAAATCTCCGGCCTAAAAGCATGGACAATGAACTAATATTAGATAAAGTTAGCAGTTGTTGGTAACTGGCTACAACAGTAAAATTAAATTCCCTCTTTC